GACGACACTCGAAGTCGGACGGACACGTTTTTCTGCCAATCTGTGTGTTTCCCTTTTTGTCCAAATATATGTTTTACAACTGTCTTGTCCACGGTGTCTTTTATTCGTTCCACTGGGGTTTCGCAAATGTGTTGATAAAGAGACGAAAATCTCTACTGTTACTAGTGTGAGTGTCTCAACATGGCTCCGCTCATGAAAGCAAAACAACGAACTCAAACACGTCTTCGTTCAATGTTGTCAACTAATATCCGGATTAATTTTCGGCAAATTTTCCTCAATTCTCTGGAGAGATTTTCATAAAAATGTGAAAAACCCGGAATTCCGGGAAAATCCGGAGGACTTTCATCTCTGTATGATTTAATTAAAGCTGCAAAAAAGGATGAATGGGCGATCACAACCCCTTTCTCATGGCAAAGACTTGAACAAAAGCCTCTTTTATCCTAGCCGGTGTTTACATTCCATTTCGTGCCAACACAAACGCCGCACTGCAAATGTGGACTAACCAAGTAAACAAACTTGAACTAAAGCAGCCAGATTCATTCCCTCATCATGCTAGAGTACTTCAACGGAGCAAAACGTAACCAGGAACAGGGAAAGCAACATTCTGGACCACTGCTACTGTACACTGAGAGTTGTACTGCTCTGTTGCCCATGGACCTTGGGTTGCATCTGATCACTGCTTCATGCGAAAAATGGAAAGGCCGATCCCTCCTCCGTCCGCGAGGAGGCTCAACTGAACTGAAACGAGTGATCTCCCCTTTTTTATTTCAATATTGGAAATGGAAAAACAGATCACAAGCCTTTATCCGAATCTTCTGTGTACTTATTTAACAAAAGTTGCTGCAGCAGCCAAAGAGGGAACACTCGAAATTGTCCCTCGGTATGAGTGTGAACACGGATGGTTGTTCGTTTATGGGTGCCCTGCGATTGGCTGGCAACCGGTTCAGGGTGTCCCCCACCTACTGCCCGAAGACAGCTGGGATAGGCTCCAGCACCCCCCTTGTGAGGATAAGCGGATTGGAATTGTTTATCACATCTCCGTCTGTCATTAAAAACCCACCTCTTCATCACCACAGTCTAGGTCGGGTAGATCATCACCTCCCATGCTGTTCATCATCTAGAAACAAGACAATTCCATTTACGTGTGTGTGTGTGTGTGTGTGTGTGTGTGTGTGTGTGTGTGTGTGTGTGTGTGTGTGTGTGATCTAGAGGCTGTTACCTCTGAAAACTTGTCAAAACTGTTTAAATCTTCATCTGAGTCGTCTTCCCAATCCTTCCAGTTATTGAAGTCCACACTGAGGCAATTGCTCTGACAGAAACAAACGTCTTTAGGGGGGCAGGGGTGTTTAACGAGATGCAATTATTATTCAGGGGCCGAACTAATTAGGCCCCCTTAATACAGCGTTTACATACTTTGCTCCATATATACGTAGCAGTGCCTCTCCCAATCAATACACATGAATGGCGCCTGACGCGAGAACCACAAGCATCATCATGGACGTCAACGCCGCAGCCGTATTGAATGTGACAAAGTGAAGTGAATTGTCAAGATGCCTCAGTCACGTGGTGCTTGGGGCATTTCAAGCAACAATTCACTCAACTACTATTGAATCAGTGCCATATCATCCCAATCAATTTTAGGGATACTATTTGCCAATTTGATGGCTAATACAGTGGCCACGTCCAATATGGCGGATGCACTGACAAATCACGTCGACATGGCCAACCATTTCAACAAATGTCTGTTGCAGAATTGAAAAGGAAAAAAGGAAAAGAACCTGCGTCACGATTTTAGATGTCGAGAGAGTTTGTGGCTCACGTGGAATCTTTTATGAAATGGTATGAAAGACTCCCTCAGTGGGCACACCGGTGGTCCAGTGCTTAGCAAGTCGACCTCACAGTGCAGAGGTTCAATTCCAGCTCTGGCCTCCCGGAGTGGGCCTCCCAGGCCTGCGTGGGTTTTCTCCGGGTACTCCGGTTTCCTCCCACATTCCAAAAACATGCATGGCAGGCTGATTGAACATTCTAAATTGTCCCTAGGTGTGAGTGTGAATGTGGATGGTTGTTCGTCTCTGTGCCCTGTAATTGGCTGGCAACCGATTCAGGTTGTCCCCCGCCTACTGCCCAAAGGTGGCCGGGATAGGTCTACTCTATTTAATATAACTTTTCATAATTGGGGAGAATTTGTGCCTTTGATCTGTGTTATCTTACCTGTGTGCATGTGTTGCCACAGCATTGGTGTGTGAACATTCGTTATTTGAAGGACTGTCACTCCCAAAGTTGATGCTCATTTCCGGTTAGCATTTGAATGGGATCCACCATCGAGTTTATAATTTGCGCAAGCGATGTTTTAAAAATGAAGCATGCAATGTGGGTAATTGTTGTGTGTTTAGTATGACAGTAAACTTCGACTAAGGTGTCATTAAACAGCTTAAAGCAAGCACAGTGACGGCAGAATCGCACACGCTCCAAGTTTGCTACGTGAGCAACATGGCGCATTGAGTACTTTCACAACGTCGGCAACTTGTAAACGCGGCATGCCATTCAACACATTCATTTTTCTTCAGTTATACTGTTTTAAAAATCAAGAGAAGCCAAAATCAAGATTAGAATATAATTTTCGGATAATCATCCAGCTCTAACAACTTTAGCTTTTGAGAACAGTTTTTCCTTGCTGATTAAAATTGTCAACAAAGGATATATAAAGGTCTCCGCTGACCCTGGAACAGATGAACTTCCTCATTTTCATGAGGAAAAAAATTACCTCTCAAGAAAACCCTATCAGACTTCAAGCAGCATGCGGAAGCAAATTGCATTTTAGCGTTGCACTGTAGCAATGAAAAATAAGTCAAAGTGTCCAAGCGTTACCCTCGTCTTATCTTTGGTCAGTCGAGGCCACGCCTTCCCAGTCTCCACTTTTCGTAAACAGCATAACACAGACCTGTCTGTGCGTCTGTGTTTGGATTCCTGCGTCAGGAGAACGACATGGGCTTCAAAACATTCAAAACATGGTCCGACATCCACTCACAACATCAAAGTGACACACTCACCTTGGGGTCAATCTCCCGATAAAGTTCCACTACATTCTGATGTTTGATGTTATTCGTTCCGCTGGCACAGCTGTGTGAGGATGACAAAAGATTACTGTAAGAACAGAATCAAACAAGATATGAGCAACACTTGACCACGAGAGGAAACAGCTCACCTGAAATCAATTTTAGTCTTGTCAAAACAGACATGCACGTCTTTACTGTCTTCCACGCAGAACTCTATAAAGACATAGTCCCGTCTGTCGTACCACTTGGCTGTTGCAGGTTTCCTAAAAACACGCACACATGCACACAGACACACGCTTCTGAAACCTCAAAACAATTCAGTTCACACGTGTCAAATCGGTTCTTCATAGGCACACACAACTCTTTTTCTCATTTGTTAATGAGCCAAAGCAATGTATGGTAGCGCTATTAATACAGTAATCCCTCTCCACTTCGTGCTTCATGTTTTGCGGCTTCAATGCTTTACAGGTTTTTCCAAAATCCAATATTTATTTTTAAAAATGTAAATAAAAAAATATATACCGTATTTTCCGCACTAAAAGACGCACTGGTTTATGAGGCGCACCTTCAATGAATGGCTTTTTTGTAAAAAAAATTTTCATACATTGGACGCTTCACATTATAACGCGCAATCTACAATTCCTCCACTAGATGGTGCTACGCTCCTTCCATTCAACTCGAGAGGCATTCTTGACCGCCTCTGAAAGATGTAAATTAACTATTACTGTACTTAAATGAAACTACAAAAATTGAAAATAATGCATCAAAACAGAAAATCAAGCGAGGAAATCACAAAATAAATTCTATATCCCCCCCTACAGAATTTATTTTGTGATTTCCTCGCTTGATTTTCTTCGTGGTTTCATTGAAGTAATAATTAATTCACGTTTTTCGGAGGCGGCCATGAACGGCTCTCGAGTGGAACGGAAGAACGCACGGAGACGGAGACGGACAAAGACGTACAGTACCTTTATTTGTTGAGACTGTGAAAACCATTAATAAAGTCTGCATTTAAAAAAAAATAAAACCACAGCTCTCCCCTTTTCAACAAATACAGGTGAGTCTTTGTCCGTCTCCGTGCCTTCTCTTATTCCGTTCAACTCGAGAGGCGTTCATGACCGCCTCCGAAAAACACATTGGCATTTCCTTGATCATAGCGCCACGACTACTACGATCAGATGTCAGTCGTAGTTATTTATTCCTTTGTTGGGTATTCACAAATGATGAAATCACAATATAAATTCTGTAGGGGTGGCTCTAGAATTTATTTTGTGATATCCTCGCTTGCTTTTCAGTTTTGATGTATTATTTTCAATTTTCGGAGTTTCATTGAAGTAATCATTAGTTTATGTTTTTCAGAGGCGGTCTTGAACGCCTCTCGAGTCAAACGGAAGAAGGCAGTAGACAAAGACGTATCTGTATTTGTTGAGACTGTTTTAAAAAATGAACACCACAGCTCTCCTGTTTTCGGAGCTGCAACAAAAAGTTATTTAATAAAGCAGCGACACAGTTCACTGAACCAACAGCAAGTTATAAAATTGGAAGCATGTCTCCAGGAAGGAGCCATCTTGGAGTCGATGTATTACCGTAATGACCATACAAAAGCCGCACCCGATTTTAAGGCGCTCGGTGAGCTTTTAAGAAAATTGAAGACTTTTTGTTGCGCCCTATAATGCAGAAAATACGGTATATTATTTTTTTAATACAGACGTATTGGCAGCCCTATTGCGGAAAGACGTGTTGTTTCATAATGATGCACGAGAGAGAAGGTTGTGACATGACTCAGACGCTTTATACATGCCTGTACTGTACTGTCCATGTCACGGGCACTCAAACAAGGCGCGCGATTGGTTAATGGCGTGACATGGACCAATGAGAGCACGAGTGGATTTATCCGGTGAGCTGATTGGCTGCACATCATCGCAGCATGACCCAGCAAAATGCTGTGACTCGCCAGCCTCGTGCAGGCCGTTGACTGTCTCGCATGCTGTATCTAAGTGTTAGTGTTCTTGATAACTTTTTGGGATTATATTTATTTATATACTTTTTGTTCTTCTAGTTTCTCCCTTTCATAATTTTGCTGCTGTAAATTGGGAATTTCGCCATTGTGAGACAAATAAATGTTTTCTTGTCTTGTCTTATCTTATCTTAGCTTGATCGGGTCGAGGAGGGTTCCTGACCCAGTTAGTTGTGTTTTAATCACGTCACAAGGAAGACAGCTCAGACGAAGGCTGAAGTGACATTTGAAACTGTTAGCTTGGTAAGGGTTTATTCACTAAAAAAAGACCACTGTCAGATACAAAAGAAACCTTCAAACTATTTCAACTCATAAGACAAAGGAACGTCATAGCGCTACCCATCACCATGTATGTCTCCAATTGTTTGTCCAAGCTGGTATGTCGAGGTAGCTAACAGTCTGCTTGTTGCTATACGTTCATACAAACACATCAATCTATGTGTATTATGTCATAATTATTTTTTGCGCTTTTATTTAGGTGAGTATTGATTAGATGAGCTGGAAAAATAACCTTTGTTTAGCCAGGGTAACTATTTTTCATTCCATATTTCAAACAGATCACTAGTAAACAAAAAAAAAAAAGGAAAGGAAGTAAAAGCTTGAACACTGTACTGAAAGGCCTACTCTCATTTTAGTCACAAATGTACTCATGTCAGGGATGTCGCTCAAGGATAACCTAATAAGGCAAGTACTTAAGATTTCCCAAAATTTCGCTTGTCAAAATTAAATACCAAATTTGAAGAATGGCTGAGCCATTCTGACAAGTGTGTCCTTTTTTCTATAATTTTCTATAATTTTTTACCCTAGCTTTATGACTATGACCAAAACACTCCAGGCATCTCTTTTTTGGACATTCCAACATAATTTGTGTACATAGTAAAACGGGGGTTGGCAAACCGCGGCTCAAGAGCCGCATGAGGCTCTTTAGGGCCGCACTAGTGGTTCCCTGGAGCTTTTTCAAAAATGTTTGAAAATCGAAAAAGATGGGGGAGAGAAATATATTTTTTGTTTTCATGTGGTCTCTTTAGGAGGACAAACATGACACAAACATTCTTAACGTTTTCCAATGCTGTAAAAATCTTGAGAATAAATATTACATTTCAACATTTCTGTCAATGAAAATTTGCGTCACAGCCTGCGACACACGTTTCTATTAGCTGGGCAGGATGCTAGACAAGTGGCTGTTGTAAAAACAAAAATGACGGCTGTGTGATGGGCCATGGATTCCAAAGGGAAAATTTGGAAAATAAATGAGGAGAACAGAGGATTCAATGTTTCTTGGACCGAATCATTTGTATTCATTGCCAATAGGGAAGGATTGCCTGAATGTTTGCTCTGAAGCTAACCGGTGATGTCTGAAAACAGAAGTCACATTAAACGGGTACAAACACAATCCTGTCATCGGCACATATTTGGTAACAAAGTGGCTGTTTTTATAAAGTGATTTCTGATTTTTGTCGGTGTATATTTGGAATGACACTTATATTATTGGGATATTATTGTGTTTTGTTGCTCAGGTCCAAGGATAGCTGCTTTGGTTGCGTGTCAAAAGAGAAGAGGATGCTGCTGCATTTTACCCTTTCCCTGACTTGCTTGGTGGGATGCCTCCGAGTGGCGCGAGGGGGGAACGCCGGGGCTCTTGGGCCCCAGACGCGGCTAAATGCCCACCAGCCGGCGGTGAAGGAGGTAGGGTCTCACCGGAAGGTGAGGCGCCCAGCGCTCGCCCTGCCGGAACGGAGGGGAGTGGGAGTAGCCGCCCCACAACCCTCCTTAAATAATAATCAGGCGAGGGCCCTTCCGGGGCCCGCACCGGGTTTGTACCTTGCGAGGCACCAGCGAGAGTCATACCGGGTGTGGGACCCGGGAGGGGGGGCAAGTCCCTGACGGGGGCCGATTGCACAGGAGGAGGAGGAGGAGGAGGAGGACTGACTTGCATGGCATTTGCACAGAAATCAAACTTAAACTGGATTAATTTGATTTTATATACTTTCAAAAGGCTGTGGTTCTATTTTTTTTTTAATGCAGGCTGCGTTTTATTGCACTCGGTTTGTTGCCCAGATGCATGTTATGCACTTTCTATTTTGTTATTTTTTCGAATCCTCAAATTAAAAATGATATATACACACACACACACACACACACACACACACACACACACACACACACGCACACAAAACATGTGTTGCCTTCATTATAAGGCTTAAATAAGGGTTTTAATTTTTGGCGGCTGCCTACATATTTGTTTTTTTTTGAGTCCAATATGGCTCATTCAACATGTTGGGTTGCCGACCCCTGTCGTAAAAACAAAAATTTTATTAATCTAGCGCTGCAAGTAGAACCATTGAACGGACTGAACACCACCGACAAGCTCATAGTGTAGTAGTCAACTATATTTAATAAAATATATATTCCCATGTGTTACTGTCAATCGGTGTTTGATATGAAGGTTAGTGTGCGTTTGCTCCGAGCCAATCCTGACACTAAGCTTCCGCTCATTAAGCACGGCACATTTTGCCTGGCTGATGCGTTGACATTAGCTTGACGGCTAAAGCGAAGGAAGACATGTGAAAATGAAAACGAAACTACCGCAAAACACAACTTTATGGACCTTTTTCCTGAGGAGGGAATGCGGTGATTGACATATCGGGTTCACTGAAGAAAGGTCGTTGATTTATACAAAACATATCTTGTGTTTTGTTTTGTTTCTGTCCCGACAGGCACGTGTGTTTCGAAAGAATACACGGATGCGGCAAAATCATGTGTTAGCCCCATTTAGCTACGTGACCCCCGAACGTACGCCTAGACTAATGGTGTAGGCAATGGCGCCTACATATTAAACAGCAGACTTACATCTTCACTGTGTTTGCAAGATAACGTCCCTCTTCAAATCGCGATATCGACAGCAAGCGCTATATGGCTAGTCGTCAAGCCAAGCAAAAAGATTAGTGAGACATAAATTGCTAACTGGACTATAATAAACCTGCACAAACATCGCGCGGTTTTGGTGTTATCGCGTGATGTGCGAGTTATGTTGCTTCACGGATTTATATATGACCGGACTATCGATAGGCCCCGAGCCGTTGAAGTCAGACGGCAGCCGTCTTACCTTGCCACTGTCCCTGGCCACTCGTGATATATTTTCGTGGAAAACACTTAGAAGTGCGTGTTTTACGGGGGATCTCTGTATGTAATCATGAGAACATCAACAGGAGGAAAGTCACTGTTTGCATCGATCAATCAGGCTATATTATCTCGGTATGATGAATTGTGACCGACATAGGTTAGGTTAACATTTGACTGCGAATTTTGTTCCAACGGGCTTTGCTTTCATTTTGCTTTTCATTTCATTGTTAATGGTTCTGAGATGGTTCTCATCGTTATACTTTATGAGAGGAAATTTAAAATTGCATCCTTACGGATTAAATGTGTATGTAGCACTTCTCCTAACCTTATTTGTAAAACGGTATGCCATACACGCTGGTGTTTTTGCCGTTGAGACAAAAAAAATTAGAACCCCGCGTAGAAATCAATGTATTCAAGTTAGACCATTTAGCGGTTGGCAACGTAAGATGGCAGTTGAGTGGCTTCACTTTTCCCGATGGTAAATTAGCGGTATAGTTGGTCCATTCACATAAAAGTCGGTGTTCTGCTTTCTTGGAAAGGAGAAAGTTGTAGTTATCCCACCCGGATTGTCTCATTTCCGACGTCAAGCCTTAAAGGCAAATGTAAACAACAAAATATTTTGACTTCCAGACATCCTTTTCACAATTTCCTTTATTCACATAAATAAAGCTATATCTCATGTTGAATGCATTTCATTCGTTTCGCCAAATAACATGCAGGAGATTACGTCATTTTCATTCACTCAGACAGCGAACTATGTTAGATAACATGGTCAGCACTCACAATGGTACAAACAGTTAGTTATAAGATACATTTTAGCACTGTTAAATTTCCACCCCCCAAAAAAACTTTGTTCTCGTTCGGCACCAGGGACAGTGCTGTGCTTGGCATGTTTCAGTTTTATGTTATCTCCAGCAGGTGGCAGTAGAAGGCTTGACGTCCATTATGCACCTGTTGCTCGTCATGCATATCATTACCTTTCACCTGTTATAAGAGACACTCACAACATCACCAATCGTTGGATAATTTGCCTTTCTCATGTCCAAGTGCTTATTTTCTTGACCTTCGTCGTTCTCGACCAGGCATCGCCGGGGTTTGTATTTCTTGTTTGTTCCGCTTTTGCCTTGTTCTTATTTACCCTGTCGTTGTTTTGGTTTTTCTTGTCTTGTCGTCACAAGTGATTTTGCGTGATTGATTTCCTTTGCTGTTTGCAAGTGCTTTTGGTTAGACTCGTTTTTATCCTGGTTATTTTGTTTCTGGCGTTTTGTTGTACTTTGTTGGTCTTGTAACCTTATTTTGAAATTCAACTTTTTTTTTAAACTCCATTTTATCCTTGTCTGAGTTTGTGGAATCCACTCCTGGTCCGGAACTACAACAGTGCTTATAGTTAGTGCTTAACATCTTACGAAGAACTTTGGTTTTCCATTGGCAAAGAGCCAAGTAGGCGTGAAGTCATCGTAAAGTGTCCAAATGTCATAGATTACGTCGACGTTTACCCAAGAGCGCCTGTGCCAATGATAATAATAATAATGCGCTGTTAGCATCTGCATAACAGCAATTATACTTGTATGTAGTATATAACAGTCAGGAACATGCAGTCAGCAAACACTGGTATATTTTAGTCATTGTAGATCAGGGGTGGCCAACCAGTTAGAGACGAAGAGCCTTTTTTTTTTAAACTGTATTACTGCAAAGAGCCACATCATACACATGGGCACACATCATCCCATCCCTTCTACGCACACACACACACTCACACACACACACAGACCTATTCTCGGCCAGATTTATTGTAAATGTCACACACAAACATGATAATGACAGAAATTGACTCCTACAGTAATAAGACCACAGGCCAGTCATTTTCAAGAATGAATATTGTGTGGAGTGTCTCGCACACACAGGTGTGAGACACTGCACACTCTCACAACTCTCAGGTCAACCAAGTCCAAAAACAAAAATGTTTTTCTCTTACTTTGCATGTTGCTTAGCACCTTAGTGCAGGGACTTCTGGCATTGCTTCTCTTGAACAATGCTCTTCAAATCTAGCTTGTATTCCATTGTTGCCACTCGAAGCTGGCACTGTCTGCATGCGAGCTGCAGCGGTTACTTACTACTTGGGTCAACTTGCCAGATAGGGCAAGCTTTTTTTGACCGAAGATCAACTTTTGAAGAAACCAACCTCTCGCAATCGATCCGATTGCGCAGATGTAAGCATGCACGCGGGCGTCAACCATGCACTCGCGCACGCACGCCACGATGAGCAGCAGCCGGAACGGCCCCTCACATGAATGAAACACAGATATGCACATTCCCCCCATTTACTCCTCCCACCCCTCGTGGTCAACGTGGGACCAGACCACTGGCTCCCGGTGAATCCCGATCGATGTATTGGGCACCCCTGCCTTAAAATCAGGGGTAATTTGCTGACTAGCGCAGTGCTTAGCGCCGTTGTTTGCATATGAGCAGTGATGTAAATGTCAAAATTCAGTTGTCATCTGACAGGTTGCCCTGTATGTCAATCAACGGGATTGATGATAGGCTGACACTGTCAGTTCTGCAGGAGTTCACCGCTCAACAGTTTTTGCAAAACTTCCACGTGTCCAGGGAGTCATTCCTCAACAGCTGCGATCATCATAACCCTGCCCCCTGACGTAGTTGGTGCCTGAGTCTGGTCCAACAAATAATCGGGGCCAGTTTCAAACACCAGAGCCAGAGCCAATTTCGGGGGTGGAAAAGGAAAGAACTGGCGCTCACCTGCACACTGGCCCCGAACTCGCATGAAGAGGCAAGAGGGCGCTGGGCAGGGGATCAATTTGCAACAGCAGAGGCTGGCAGGGGGAGGAGGGTGATGAATCTTCTGATGCCAGGCAACACAAAACAAAGTGCTTCCAAATAAATAGTTTCATAATTAACAAAGACCCCTATGCTTACACGTAATTGACTGTACTATGTGAAAACGTTGAAGTGTGTATTCTGCTCATATTTAGTCATGTCATTATAACTTTCTCACCTCCATAGTGAAGCTCTGTTTTGTAGCCACTAAAACAAAACACACTACTTCATCAGTTCGACATAGGAATGCACCAGTTGATACAAGCTAAGAATCAGTTTAGGAGAAACGAAAGTCCTGATGCCACACCATTAGTTTCGGTACCGCCCTTCTGATGATATAAATATGATGTGAATCCCTCTCTTCTTCGCACTTGTGATCCAGCCATTGTCTGGATGATTGATATTGCTTAATGTTAGAGGAATCTATGAACAGAATTATATCATGTTTAAAGTTCCATTTAATTTGGGCCTGTCTAGACGTGTTGTGTATTTAGCTCCCTCAAATGTCTGCGCGCTAGGGTGTCGGCCGTCTCGGGAGGAGGCTCTTTGAATCCACAGTAATCAGATTACCGCAAGACTGCGAACAGATAGGCTAGACTCAGTCAACAGTTTAGGAACAAAGTGTTTTAGAACATCAAAGGACGGTCTGGGGAACTGGTCGCCGGCCCAGGTGACCATTTGTCATCTGCGAAGTCTGCGACTTGTTTATTCGTGGGAGACAGTGTTAAAGTATCTGTGGTTCAAAGCTTGACAAAAGCTAATCACATCGCCGGACTGGGGGCGTAGAATGCAAATATCGGGGGCAGTGTCTTTCTTGTATTTTGCATATGTAAATAATAAAAGACTGATGAGGAGCATGGTGTACTTTGAGTGTGATCTTAGAGCAACTGCCCGCCGTTCGCCTGAAAGATCTGCTCCCGTCGGACCGCACCAGCAACCTTCCATGAGCGAGTTCTTCTGTTTAAACTTGTCCGGGTATAACTCTGACACTTAGCCTACACAGACTGGGTTAATGCTCAACATTAAGCTATGTTATTCACGTGACGTGCAAAAAAACTTGCCAGGACATACACAAAATGAAACCTGGATTAGAAGTCTGTGTGTGTGTGTTTTAACCTCCCACCCCGGGTAAAACTGTCTCAAAGCACCAATGCCTGTCATGTCAGTAGCCCTGTGTAATTCCTTCTTAGAAGACTGAATGAGATGACTAAATAATTAGGTGATGTGCTTCGCTTGGTTCTTTATTCATCAAATCTGCCCAGGGTCTGTATATTACTCTCATGTGGATTTATAAGGGTCAAATTTCACAGTGGCAGAAACCCACGCACCACTGGAAACCATAAGATGTCTTTCTGCCCCTACAGTAAGTAGGAGGTTTTAGTGGTAAAAAGGGAAAGAACTGAGCAATTACAGGACAAAATGTTTCGGCTGAAATCAAATAATTTTTTTGGAGCAACTGGGAGCAAAATGAAACTGATTACCCTAGTCTACATGGCAAATAAAGGGATTTCAAAGTCAATGGAAAACATTGACCCACATTACATCTTTTGAACAGTTCAACCTTAAACGTCTTGAGTTCGAATGGGAATCGTGTGGAACTTGGATGTTGAATGTCTCGTTGGAAAGAGTGAGGATTATTGGGAATGGGGGGTAAAAATGTCTAATTTGGGGAAATGCGAAAATTTGGGTAATGGGAAAAATAATAGCACAAATGTCCAGAATTTCTGGCATGTTAATTGTTGGAATCGATTGAATCTGTTGGACGCTACAGCTTCTTGTTTGCTTTCAAACTTAGCTTGTAGCAGACGTATACACATTATCAGCATGACCTCTCTGATCCACTGGTAAAAGGACACTTTAAATCTCTCCTCTTTCATCTAGAACTGCTTCAAACAGCAAAGTGTATGCAGAAAAGTGGTAAGATTGCATGACTGTCTGTGTCTTATGTGTTGTGTTGTATTATTTTGTTATTTTATGTTAACTGTTCTGTTGATGGCAGCACAGGTACCCACAAGGGCTCCTCTCTCTCCTGTGGTTGCACTGTGGTTGAGAGGAAAGAAATTTCATCTGTGCTGTATGTTGCACATCGAACATATCTGACAATAAAGTTGACTTGGCTTGAAATGTGGAATTAGATGTCGAAAAAGTGGAGTGAAAAAGAGAACAGTGTGTAAATTGCATTGACGCAACAAAATAAAAGCGTTTTAATTGGTAGTTCACGTCATGTATTGGTACTATTTATCATAAAGTGAGCCTTTATTAGACGTCGATTGTCGTGACAGAAGCCGTCCGTCCTTCCAGCCAATCACATCAACACTGACGAACTTCCGGGCTACGTTTTTTATTTATAATCTGGGTTAGGCGACGTTACACGCTCACAAACGACCATTTCTCCGAACATGAACAACAGTGTCAAGTATGTGATTAGAGCGCGGTGTGACGTCGTCAAGGCTGTCGGAAAAGAAGTCCAAGGGCATTAAGAAGTGAAGGTCTCCATCTTTGAGAAGCATTTGTCGGACAGCACAATTGCTCGGATTTGAACGCCAACGCGTAAAAATACAAGACAAGCCGTTTGAAAGCCGGACCACAAGACTGCTTCTTCCTCTTCCTTTTCCTCTTCCACCTCCTCGCAGTTAGCTAGCTTATACCGGCCACAAAGCTGCTAGCAAGGCTTGCCGCTAGCTGTGGGTTCAAAACAACCAAATGACGGTGGCGTTCGGATAGGGAGCAGAAGGTGGAGATGCTTAAGATTTAAAAAGGTTTGTTGACTATCACCAGGAGACAAATCGACAGCTGAACCGATGTTGCGAAATCGCTAACTCTTCCGTCGGAGAATGGCGGACCGCCGAACAGCTTCCATAATATTGGCTCATCCGTACAGTCATCGCGTGTTGTTCTTTTCTCGCCCGCTTGAAGCCTCCGTTGCCATTGAGGAGATTTATGGGCTCACAAGGTAAATGTCTGCGAGCGTGTGTTGTGACGCCATTGTTTACAGCCTCCGTTCGTGATCAGCTGATCTCATCGGAGCTCAAATGTTAAGTGTCGGTTCAGTATTTGCGTGGCGCCACACACAACCCTGCAAATGTGTCATGAGAAGCCCTGACGATTGTTTGCGCGAAATACCTACTCTGTGTACTTGTGGAGACACTTTGTTTTCCGTGTGTGTGTGTGTGTGTGTGTGTGCAGTTTCATCTGATGAGATGAGCGTGCGTGCTGGCCAGGGGAGTGATGAGGTGCTGGTGTCACAGGCTGTGTGGGACTACCTGGCCGCCGCTGGCAGGCCCTGGCTTCTCGACTTCCAGCACAAGCAGGGCATGAACGCTGGCATCGTCCGACGTGGTGAGAGCGGGGGCTGCTGCGCGGTGAGGCTGCAGCCAGTGCCAGGCGCCAGGCTCGCCGCGGTGGCGGACGCTCCCGTTTCCAGTGAGACACGCAAAGCCTTCATCGATCTGTGCCGCTGTGCCCGCAAGGAGATGAGTAAGCAGGATGGTGGCCCCAAGAGGAAGAGGGCCCTGCTGCCTTGTACGGGGGTCCTGCAGCCAAACGGGGAGGGGACCCTGCTCCAACTTTCACCCCAGCTGCCGTCTCGCCGCTCTCAGAGACAGCAGCAGCAGAAGTTCCGTAAGGCTGCGGACGAAGAGGCCTTCTCCGTGCTCCATGAAGCAGCCCACCGGAAAGACTGTGGAGCAACTTCCCACGGCGAGGCGGACGACAACAGTTCATGCTCCATCTGCATGGGGGACGTGGTAGATAAGACCACCCTGGAGAAATGCGGCCACTCCTTCTGCCGCTGCTGCCTGGATCAAGCCTTCAAGGTGAAGAGGGCATGTCCTGTATGTCGCCTTGTTTACGGCCAGCTGATTGGTAACCAGCCTGCCAATGGCACCATGATTGTCGAGCGGGATCCCACCCTGCAGCTCCCGGGTCATGAAGGCTACGGTTGCATCAGCATCATCTACAGCTTCCCTCCCGGCTTCCAGGCGGTGAGTTCGCCAACTGATTCTACATGGAAAAATTGATGGTGCACCATAGGGTTGGGCATTACACAGTTGCTCCCAATTGGACAGTAGTGATTAGACTCCACATGAGCAGGAATTTTGGGGCTGATCACCAAATTGAAATAAACCAAGCCCCATAACTTGTCACAAGGCCGAGCAATATGTCAATATTTAAATAACTTGTTTATTTGCTGCATATACTTGCGTACGGTTTATACAGTGTATCACCAATCTGGGGCAAGTGTGCTTTGAATTTGAAACATTTATATGTTAACACATGAGCAGAGCTCCACCAGTGAATGACTCACTAGTTAATACTTTAAAAAAAATAACTGACTCCACGATGGTGTACGCGTTTTTACTAACCAACAGGCATGGAACAAACAACTCTCCACATGACACATAAAAGGAAAAGATTTCATTTTGAACCGTGAAGCATGATGGGATGAGATCATCTCCATACAAGTGTGTGTGTGTGTGTGTGTGTGTGTGTGTGTGTGTGTGTGTGTGGGTGGTTGGTTGGGGGGGTCCCTGAATTTCATACTTAGATTTAGAAACCATGTGCAGTGTTCCCTCATTATTCACAGCTCAAGCACATGTGCATTTAACCACACAAGAAGCTTGCGGCCACTGTGGCGATAGAACGCATCCGTTAGCATAGCATTTAGCTTCGCTACTTTCCGATCAGAGCAGATAAAAGCCATGTACGTCGTCACGGGGGTGCCTCCCAGTGTTCAGACTTAGACACCACATCCGGTATTAAAACGCCCGTTAATTGGGAGATGCTCCTAAAAGTTACCTCAAGCACTGTTGTTTTATATTTATTTCTTTGCACGTGCTTTGAGAACCACTTGTACAACTCCATATCTTGATTGGAACTTTTTCATGGCCATTTTCCTTTCATGTATTTATTTTAATTTTATTTATTTCATTGGGATAGTGAACATTAATCAAAACATGAATAAACAGTGTAAGTGCGCTGGATTTAGCATAAATGCTCGTTTTCAGCCATAGCCCAGAGGCAGGTTTCTGAACATAAACATAACATATAAACAGTTAAAATAATAAAACACAACACACAACTTAAAACACGACAGTCATGCAATAGACTGCGTAGACTGTCAACAGCGCCTTTCATCTTCGATAAACAAAACGGAGCTGTGAAAAATGCTGCAAAAAACAAGTGCCCTGCGGCTGTCAAGGGGCGACGGTCAAATAGCGCCGACGTTCCTCCCAATGAAAATCAGTCATGGTACACATGTGCTGCAGAGAAGGCGCAATCACCAAGCACAGATTCTTCTCTTTTGAAGAATGTGGCCAAAAAGGCTAAAAAAAAAGTCCACGTCGGGTCCACCTGAACAAAAACCGTGACAAAAAAAAACAAACAAAAAAAAAAAACCCCAAAGCTCATGAATAGCACTTGCCGACTGCTGCCTACTAGGGTGCCATCTTGGATTGTTTAGTTTTTACAAACTTTTCATTTTATTTGTGTCTACAGAGTGTCCAAATAGTCCGGATACAGAGGTAAAGAAATATGAATGTCCCTATAAATTTCATAAATAAATATGATGAAGTCAACAATTTTAACATATGATATACTATATTTTTAGTTATATTTTATTACGACAAATTCTTTTTTTACTTATAGTTCTCTTTCATTTTGTTTTGTGTTTTGCCACGTGGCGTCATGCTCACAGTGACGTAGTGGCGAGTTCTGTTGATGAGCAGTGTCAAAACGGCATGTTTGTTCAATCATTGACATTGCATCATCAAAGAAAGGAAGCCATTTTCAACACTCAAAATTGGTGGAGAATTTGTTTCGTGAGGGATGACTAATAGTGTAGATTTTTGTAAAAATATTGAAGTGACCAAATTCGGAATATGAGCCAACAGCGATTTCCAGGGCCAGTGCTGGTTCTGGCAGGGCCAATATGGCTCGTGGTGGCCCAACACCACCGAAAGGCTTAATGTAGAACCCTGATTACAAAAGTGCAAAGCAAAGGTTTTTGCAATAAACTGCACAAGGAATGCTAAAACATTGGCAGTTGTCGTTCAAGAAAACAAAGTCCCGTTGCACAGCACGCGATGCTATTGAGCCTCACATGGACGATCGGGAAAAAAAAATGCCGATTGGAAGAGCGAATTGGGATCAACTGTATCACACTCCTTGCTACTTTTGACCCTTTAAATATTTCACTCTCTGATTTGAAGCAGCCGGTTTTCAAAATTTGACCCTTTGATTTGAAACAGACAACTTTCTAAGCCTGATAGCCTACGCCGTCAAATGTGAGTGGAGCTTCTTGTCACAAGTTTGATCATTTTTTTAGGAGTGTCGGCCCAGGAAAATGAGTAAGAGGAAGAAGTTCATTTGATTTTGATTGTGACGTTTTTTTTTTCTTCCCACGAAAAAAAGACCATTCTTCTTCGTTAATGTGTTGTGTCATATGACATGGTTTGTATACATTTTCCTGCACTGTAAAAGTACCTGGAATTGACCTGTGTTGTGTCCAGTTCTAGCAAGTGCGTGGATCAGTGTTGTGTAGAGCAGAGGTCCCCAACCGCCGGTCCGCGGACCGGTACCGGGCCGCACAGAAAGAACTTGCCTTATTTCCGTTTTATTTATTTCGGAATACGAAATATGTTTTATTTTGAAAAATTACCGGATTCTCTGTTACATCCGTCTGTGTCACGCTTGACTCACGTCAAAGGCACACTTCTCGGTCACGTGACCGACGACGCTCATAAACAAAACGCTGAAGCCCGCAAAATGAGTAAAAAAGCTGCTTGGAGATCGCAAATGACGGCCGCCTTAAAAGTATGTTCGAAACTACTGGATCAAAGTTATGGCTGAATACTCTGAGATCGCCACAATAGCACTGTTGCTATTTCCGACATCCTACCTGTGTGAGGTGGGGAGTTTCTGCAGCAACAGCGACTAAAACAAAATTACGAAGTAGACTGGACATAAACCACACACTTGAGGTGTCATTGTCTCCCATTACCCCGAGATGGGACTGTCTGATTGCAGAAAATCAAGCTCGGGGCTGTGGTGAGTCGTCATTTTCATGCACTTTGAATTTGCGTTGTATCGTATTTTGAAGGCATTAAACATTACCAGAGCGATAAGAGTGTTGCGACCAGATTAGACGCTCCTTGTGTTTATTATTATATTTCGAAAACACCACAGATTTCATGCAGCTCATACCATATTATTTTGTTGTATTAATTCCGCCACACCTTAAATGCCGGTCCCTGAAAATATTGTCTGACTTAAACCGGTCCGTGGGGCAAAAAAGGTTGGGGACCCCTGGTGTAGAGTGAGCAATTAAAAACATGTCAGAAACCAGAAAGGCAGCCTTCCGTCGAGAACAAAATCATTTGGAGACATTTTGGTTTCAAGTTGTTGGACAGAAAGCAGAATTAAATTGTATGCAAAGTTTTCTCACGCTATCATGTTTGCAACCCAAGGCAATGCCTTTTTTGTTTTTTCAATAGTTTTACTCGTTGGTAATTTCATGTCGCTGATGGTGTAATGGTACACTCGCCTGACTTGTGTGTATGCAGCGTGGTATCGGTTCCCACTCATTAAGGGTGTGGATGTGGGTGTGAATGTGCGTTGGTGTCTCTGTGTGCCTTGCAACCAGTTCACCAGGTGTAGTCCGCCTTTTGCCTAAAATCACCAGGGATAGGCTCTAGCAACCCTGTTCAGGATAAGCGCTGTTGAAAATGCCAGTGTTTTTCCATTTTTTATTTCAAGGCTTTTGTTAATTTTACATGCGTGGCTTACTTAGTTTGGTTGGGAAAACGCAATAGATTTTCCCACCCAAACTATATCACTGCTGGACAATCGACACACAGTGGACAAGGATGACACAAAGAAAAACAAGTCTCTAACGCAGTGCACAAATTTGCGAGGGGTCAACCAGAAACAACAGAATTTTTATTCCCCGATTTTGACCAAAAAAAAAATGTCCAAAGCATGTTTCGTCAAGCAACCAGTGTGCACAAAGAAAAGCAGGCAGGCGCCCGTGTGCAGTGAACATTTCCGGTACAAGGAGTGATTTACAATTGGACAGAAGACACGCCAGACACGCCACCGCCACGCAAGCGACATTAAAAACCAAGGCCGTGTAGAGTATTTAACGAGGCGGGTTTGATTTGCGTGAGGGAGGATCTGCCCTTCCTCTTGAGTCTCATCGCTTCGCAACGCAGGCGGTAGCTCTTAGGTCTTCATCTTCTAAGATGTGAGCGGAGCTGCGCGCGTAAATTAAACCGCTGACACAGTGGACGAACAGATAGGAGGAAATGTTTCCACCATTCTCCATGCGTGGTCCACTCCTTCTCCAAAGTGCAATTTGTGTCCTCAAAAGACCATCTGACAGTGCAGCTTTCACATCAAAAGTGTACGCTCACTGCGTGGACTTATTTCATGGTTTTGGCTGGAAACGATATGGCTTCATTCTTCCAGAATTTATGCTGTAGAGGCCGAGCTCTGTGTGCATACCATTGTGCAGTCTTAAATCGAAAGTTGACACGCGGCGGTTGCTCAATGAACACAGCGGCCATTTACATTATTTTTAAACAAATGAGAAGTAGTATCGCCTTTATATTTCAAGTTGAGTTTTGGTTGTTGTGGCTCAAATTTTGAAATAAATGAGGAATTGCTTCTCAGTGATTTCAATGTCAATCGAAATAATTGTGACGGTTGGCTTTGTCGTAATCGTCCAGCCCGAGTGCGAGGGCCCGCTCATCACTTGTTTGCAGCTTGATCTACAGTTGTGGTTCCTTGTGTGTTCGTCGCACAGCCCAGAACTCATTGAGTATGTTGTGTACTCTTGATGCCAAAAGCCAGAGCATCCCAACCCGGGCGTGCGCTACCCAGGAACAGACCGTTTGGCCTACCTCCCTGACAGCCCCGAGGGGAACCGTGTGCTAGGCCTGCTGCGCCGGGCTTTCGAGCAGCGCCTTACCTTCACCATCGGTACCTCCATGACCACAGGCTTGCAAAATGTCATCACCTGGAATGACATTCACCACAAGACCTCAATATGGGGCGGGCCCCGCTGGTACGTGACAACGTCCGTCCGTCTTTTGGTAACTGAGCCCCTTCGCTAAGCCACACCTTGTAAAGGCAGACTGGCCAATCAAAGCACACAATGAAGGACGACGCAGATGAAACTTCAAAGTTGCAATTTTCTGTAGTGTCTTTTCAAAGCTAATAATTATTATTTAGACTTACACATTGTACTTTTACATAAAGCTATTGAGGACAACAGTAAACGGTATAGAACTGATGGAAGCCGAGGTTCGTTGATATTTCGCTGCCTAGTCTTCCCATAGGTTTAGAATTTGCTGTGCTGTTTTTGTTTTTTTTGCCCCTCTCAGTTTTGGATACCCAGACCCGACGTACCTGGTGCGTGTGACAGAGGAGCTGCGAGAGAAAGGCATCACGGCGGAATGAAGCGAAAGACCTTCAGGAGTGTGCAGGACTTGAGAGCGGGTATGTAATGGCAAGATGGTTGCGGGTTGGTGTGTTCAAGACATCACGTAATGGTTGGCCCTCAGCAGACAGGTGCTGCTGCAGCAGAGTCCCATTCGCAGTGCGCGCCGACTCGAGTTGATTTCGGCTCAGTGCTACGACCTGTGGAAGGCGTGAGTGAGCGCAGCTCGTGCTTCAGACATCTTATTTTGGAATCACTCTGTCATGAAGACTGTTTTGTTTTGAATGTTTAGTTCTGCTCTGGGGATTCCCTCCTTTGTTTTTTCCCCAAGCACATTTTTGTGATCGTGCGAACGTTCAAAATGGGTGTCTTGTTTCCCAGATGACAGAATAGCATCGCTAAAAAAGACTTTTGCAATCCAAAGCACTTGCAGGCACTTTTTTTGCACCCATTTTCTTCCTGTAATTTTTTTTTTCGCGCAGCAGCTGTCTGTCGTCGCGTGATGTCATTAGTTCAGACCTTTGTGATTTGTTTTCCCCGTGTCCGTCATGAACTAAAATGGGGGAGTTTTCAAACACAAATAATGTGGCTTTTTAAGCATCGTTCACCCGTGTTATCCCAAGATGCCTCACAGGCATCGAGCTCATAAGACCTTAGTAAGTTAGTGCTATGCTCATCTAATTAGTAGTAACCAGATTTATGACGATGTCAAATATGAAGGGCATACAAGCCACTAAACCAAATCAATGGCACAAAAGCTCTTGAAATCAAATCAAATCTATGCCTCTATCTCTGTCGAATTGGGAGATTTGCCTGCTGAAACTCGTTTAACTTGATAACACCGTTCTCTCAAATGTTTATCTGGGTTGATGATCGATGACGTGGGCTTGGGGGAAATTAAGAAAATTTAGGAGCAAATATGATTAGAATTGTTATGGTGTGGATTTCGTTGTGCCTTTTCTGATAATCACTTTGATAAAAAAAAAAAATGGAGCATGACGTTACTCAGTAAGTTCTGTTTGTACTTCCATGTTACATGGCAAAACTCTTTGTAGCGGAGAGGCTCTCACAAGGGATCAATGTATCAAACCGCTTTGCTTAAGCAGGTTACGCACATACCCACTTGAAACATTTCTCCCGGTTACCAAAATGAGAAACCCTACGAGGAGGAAAAAGAAAAAAAAAAAACAGACAAACCCACCATTGTCTCTCAACTGATGTGTGAGAGGCAGCACGGCGCTACACAATACCATGACTGACGGAAAATACAAAAAAAGAATAGAAGGCATAAAGCTAACTTAGCTTATGCGCTGATTGGATGGCAGTTGAAAACTCTGGTTATATTGACTGCACACATGAGGATTTGCAATTACAAATAACAGACAAGTTCTAAATTTACAGTTGTTTTCTGTCCAGATGACACAGCCTACACCAGGGGGATAGTCACTCTGAAGGACATCAGGGGCCGAATGTAATGACATGTTTTCGCTCTATGGTTTATTTAGGGGTTAGTAACATAAGAACTTTCTCGTAAGTAATTTCCACTTGAATACAGTTAATAGAAACTTCATTTGCATGTACGTCGCCATTGTTGTTTACTTCGCAATGCATTCATGGCAGTGATGTAAAATGGTTGCGCGCTTTTGTTTTTAGCGGTCGCAGCTGTTCAGACCTTTCAAATTCGAAGTGGGAGTGTCATCAAAGAGATGAGGAAGAAGCCTGTGGGTGATAATGTGATAAAGCTGGAGTTGGGGCATTTTCGGACATGCACATCTCTCAGTGGATTCATCTGTCGTAAGCGGTGAACATTGTACACGTAGAGGTGTGGCAAATTATGTTGTAAACAGCAAAAGCAAGATGAAGTATATATTTCTAACAATGTTTCAATCGTAGTTTTTTCGCCAGAGAAAATACTTTTTTTTTTTTTTTTTTTTTTAACGTGAATATGCCAAATACCAAGTAATAGTTAAATAACCATGTACAAAAACACCTAAACACACGCAATCAAATGAAAACTATGCGCTCCCCACCTATTCTCCACCTCGGCTTGACCGAACATGTTAAAAAAAAAAAGACCATATGCAGAACCTAAAAACTAGATGGGTCCCAGACGTCGACAGGTGGTAGATTGAATCTTGCTTTTAACCCATGCTCCCAAAAGTCGTAGATCATAAGCATCTAGACAGGTCAGCAATTCTATCGGACATTGCGCACAAATGTTTTATGCCCCCGTCATGTCACATTTCGAGAGCGATGGGAGAAATAAGTGTTGTGTAACACACCTGTTAAAGCTGCTAAACTGATATCAAATCTTGAGAGTATTGATCACCACCAAGTTGTCTCTATGTAATGGAGGTTTTGCCGGCCTATGGGAATAGAGTAGCGCAGGGAAGGAAGAACCCCTATTGGATGATAGTTACAGTCTACACCACGAGGAATCGGTGAACGTTTATACCGAAACGCCGTTTCTCTACATGAGCCACCCAATACTAAAATTGAAAATTAGGCAACGTCAGACCACCACTAAGATTACAACTTTGCAACAAAGTTATACGAACTCTTGGTGGCTTCCCGCTGCAAATAAAAGAACAGATAATCTTATCCAAGGAATCAAAAAGAATTGTTTCGGCCCCCCCCCCCCCCCCCCGGAAAAAAAGGGGAAAGACTGACAATCGAAATTTTGGCCACGTATTCATCTTTACAACTTGAATCTTGCCAATCAATGAAAGGGGGAGGTTACCTTTGAATAACAGAAGAAACCTTTGAGATAAGGGGAGTGATGTTAGCCAGTGAACGATTGGACAGAGATCGTGTCACAATGATAACCAAGTAATTCAAACTCAAACAAGTCAGTCAGATTACTGGCGCTGAGGCGGATTCTTTTCCAGCTTCAATTTAAGAGAGCAGTCACAGAAGTAGTTGGATCAGTAACATATGATAAGAAATTGTCCGTGTATCATGACAAACTAAACTCTCTACCGTTTAGAGTGATTCCTCTAACCAAGGAAGAAGATCAACATGAGTTGAGCATGCTCAGTGGAAAAGACATCAGAGTCATCAGAGTAGCTCTCACTGGCTTTAGGAGATCAATAAAGGTCAAATCCGGGAAATACAAATTGCCAAATTTTTCCAAACGACAATTACTCTCTAAAAAGCTTTTGACAGCATCCAATAAAATCGACATCTCCGGGGATTTGGTGGTTTAGCATAAATTGTATTAAAACATGATGACCCTTTTTAAAATCATGTTCCTCCTTGGCTATCAAATACAAGGGTGGACTGTCTGCAAACGAGATGCAATTAATTTAGCCAACGTCGTCACATCAGCGTTGAGCAGAGATCATGATTTATCAAATCCACACAAGGTCGGCTTTTCGTCTTTCTTAAGAAGGAGTGCGATTCTGTTCAAGTGGGTGGCAAGGGATCACATTCGTCAACCCATTAAATGCTGACAAAAGCGGAAATTCGTCCATTGTAGTGCTGTCTACGGGAAGTTCAAACTTAGACAGAATAAAATAATTTCAACATGATGTTGACTTCTATCGGATCTGTCGTGATCACATTCCAATTATTTTGGATGTTAGGTATTAACATGAGAAGCAACTTTGCGTTGTAACTGTGCCACTAATCTGCTCGCATTGTCACCACATTCTTATTGTGCGCCACGACTTAATAGTAGCGAGCACTCAGCTTCTCTTGTTGGCATGAAATCAAATTGTGCTTGTAAATCAAAATGTTCGGAAGTGGGATTCAACGCAAATCTGTCGTCCAACTTCCTGGTCGCGATTGTTTTTCATTCAGCCTCAAATTAAGCCTATTTTTAGAGAGCACATCGTAAGAAATAATCTGTCCTTTAAGATACGCTTTCAGGTCTCCCACAGAAGTGAAGACAAATTGGTTGTTCTGGTTAAAAGAAAGGAAATCATTTAAGAGAGATATAAAAAATTCTTGGTCTGCCAACAGTCGAGAATCAAATCTCCAGGAGGGAGGATTCCACCTATAACTCATCAGCTGAATATAAAATAAAATACAGAATAGTCTGAAGAAACACGAGAATTAAAAGGAATAGCAATAAATAAATCCTGGAATATGGCTGATGGACCTTGGAGAAGGAAGAACGTTTCTTTATAGGCGGGTTACGGTATCTCCCAAGCCCATTCGCCGTAAAATCTGAAACTCTTTTCGCCAGGTGGCCTGGTGGTCCAGTGGTTAGCGTGTCGACCTCACAGTGCAGAGGTACCGGGTTCAATTCCAGCTCCGGCCTCCCTGTGTGGAGTTTGCGTGTTCTCCCCGGGCCTGCATGGTTTTCTCCGGGTACTCCGGTTTCCTCACACATTCCAAAAACATGCACGGCAGGCTGAACACTCTAAATTGTCCCTAGGTGTGAGTGTGAACATGGATGGTTGTTTGTCTCTGTGCCCTGCGATTGGCTGGCAGCCAGTTCAGGGTGTCCCCCGCTTACTGCCCGAAGTCGGCTGGGATAGGCTCCAGCTCCCCCCGCGACCCTTGTGAGGATAAGCGGATTGGAAAATGGATGGATGGATGGATGGATATTTTAGCCATTGCAAACGGGGGACTGCAATGGCTAGTCTCCCAAAACCACCTAATGAGAATAATAATAATAATACATTTCATTTGTAAGCGCCTTTCACAACACTCAAGGACACTTTACAGGCAAGAGCAAACAATAAAACAATAAAATAAAACCACAGATAAAATTATAAATAAAAGATGAATTTATGTAGAATAAGCCAGTCTGAATAGGTGGGTTTTGAGCTTGGTTTTGAATGTGGAAAGAGAATCAATGTTACGAATATTGGGCGGAAGGGAGTTCCAGAGTTTGGGGGCAGAGTGGCTGAAGGCCCTGCACCCCATTGTGCTGAGACGGGCAGAGGGTATAGAGAGGTGGAGGGAGGATGAAGACCTGAGTGAGCGAGAAGGAATCGCGATCTGAAGAAGATCTGATAGTTAGGGGAGGGCAAGGTTATGGATGTCTTTGAATGTGTAAAGAAGTATTTTGAAATTGATATGTTTAACAGGGACCCAGTGGAGCTGTCGGAGGATGGGGGTGATGTGATGGAAGGAGGGGGTTTTCGTAATGATCCAGGCTGCTGAATTCTGAACAAGTTGAAGTTTATGGAGAAATTTGAGATGGACGCCGAAAAGAAGTGAATTGCAATAGTCAATGCGGGAGGTAACGAGGCTGTGAACAAGGATAGCAGTAGTATGAGGGGTGAGAGAGGGACGGAGACGGTTGATGTTACGGAGGTGGAAATATGCGGACCGGGTAATGTTATTGATGTGGGAGTGGAAAGATAGTGAGCTGTCGAGGATGACACCCAAGCTCTTGACCTGAGGGGAAGGAGATACAGTGGAGTTATTAATTGTGAGGAAAAAATTGTCGGCTTTGCATAGTGTGGATTTAGTACCAACGAGGAGGAGTTCTGTTTTGTTGCTGTTTAACTTGAGGAAGTTATGGGTGAACCAAGATTTGATTTCTGAGAGACAGTGAGAGAGGGAGGAGGGTGGGAGGGAGGCGTCGGGTTTGCTGGAGAGGTAGAGCTGGGTGTCATCCGCGAAGCAGTGAAAGTGAATACCAAATTTGCGAAAAATATTGCCAAGCGGAAGAAGGTAGATCATGAACAGGAGGGGACCGGGGACAACCCTGGGGAACACCAGAAGTGACGGGGAGGGATTGTGAAGTGAAAGAATTGAGTTGGATGAACTGAGAGCGGCCAGTGAGATATGAATGGAACCAACTTAGGGGGGTGTGGGTGATGCCTAAGGTGGAGAGTCTATTGAGGAGGATGGAGTGCGAAATGGTGTCGAAAGCTGCACTCAGGTCAAGCAGAATGAGAATGGAGATTAAGCCAGAGTCTGCTGCCATGAAGAGATCACTTGTGATTTTTATGAGAACTGTTTCTGTACTGTGACTGGGACGGAAGCCGGACTGGAATTGTTCATAAAGACTATTACAGGTGAGGTGGGAATGGAGCTGAGAGGCAACAATTTTTTCAAGAATTTTTGAGATGAAAGGAAGGTGAGAGATGGGGCGTAGGTTATTGAAGTCATTGGGATCTGAACCGGGTTTTTTTCAGGATTAGGGTGACAGCTGCGATTTTGAAGGAGTTGGGAACAATTCCAGACGACAGAGAGGAATGAATAATGGCTGAAATGAATGGAAGCAGAGAGGGCAAGCAAGATTTGACCAGAACTGTGGGGAGGGAATCTAGCTGACAGGAGGAAGTCTTGGATTTGAAGAAGATAACAAGGGAAGGCTGCTCAGTCATGTGTTCTCCCGTAGAAACAGAATTTAAACGCTTCAAATGTGTGAAAACCATTGAGCTCTTCACAGAATCATCCATGTCTCTAAAAGTTCCAGCTAGCAAATCTGAAATGTGTGCCTGCTCCACCTAAACTGAAATGTACTTCATGCTCAAGTTTTAAAAACATGCATACAAATGACCAAAGAAAGCAAGAGGTGGGGCACCCGACCCTCCCATCAAACCAACAAACAAAAACAGCTCCAAAAGTCTCCATAAACGGGGAAAAAAAAAGGGAAAGGCGGTGTTTCCCACAGGAACTAAAAGTTGCCTAAGTTCTGCATTTCTCTTTGTTTGCACACAACTGCAAACAAAGAGAAATGCAGAACGATCAAAAGCAAGAAGCCCTGCTGGTTCCAAATCCACCAAGAAAATGCGCAAACTTGGTCCACTACGTTGCATATTTCATTGGACACACACACCTTATGTAGTAAAGATAACAATGATATTAAGAATACAAAAATAAGTTTTGACATATTCACTGGCCCTCTCCGCTGACACAAAGTCGTCCTCCTCCATACCGCAGTAGGCAACAGGAAAGGCGAGCCGGACGAAAGAGGCCAAATCGAACACCTGTCAATAGCTTGAAGTTGTCACATAATATTATTGAATGCAGGCCGGGCTCAAGTAATCTTGGCTGTGTGATCTGGAAAAGACTTGAGATGGCGAAACCCGCTGAAGCTCCCTCGCACGGCCTAAAATGTCAGCTCAGCTCACTGTAAGAGTGAAATCTGCGTCATTGGCCTGGTGTGTGCTTAGGTTAAAGTGCTCCAGATGTGGCTCCTTTTCTAAACCAAGTGCCTCTTCTAAGTAGTAGTTGATCATGAATCTGGACCCTCTGCAACTCCTACAAACCTGATGTGATCTGGAATCCAAATCTTCGGGCTTGGAAACGGGAGCAGTCAGGCACTCGAGTCGTTTTCATCTCCACGAAGTCATCGGTAACACAGAGTGCATGCTCCATCACACCCACGGCAACCCTTAAGAGTAGTAACAGTAGCCACGGTCGCAGCTCTTTCATTAGCCATCTGTGTCTTGTCGGCTTGTAAATCAAGCTTGATTGTAGATATAGCATCGCCCGGAGCCTGGCGAAGTTCGTTTTTGAAAATACCCGCAATGTCCTTCCCCAGCGAAGCGAACCACTCGAGCTTGATAGCGGTGGCGTCTTGATCATCTAATGCCAACGTGGCAACAACGGGGTCTGGCGAAACACTCGGAAACATGCCCGCGGTGAGCTGCCGGACAGTTTAACGTCATCCAATGTTACAATTCGAGCCTTAAAGTAAAACAAAGTGCAACGAGGGAGGGGAAGTTACCTGCACTTTTTAATCAAAACCGACAAGAGCTTCTGAACAGCGCCCCCCTCGGAGTTCCTTTGAAAGGAATTCCTCATGATATATGTCGACCTATATGTGGATGTCGCCAAGTGTGTTTTCCGTGGTCAAAATGCATGCAAGCATGGCAATCAAGGCAGCCACTGAAAAAAAATGTCCACCCTCGCCATTCCACAGTATACAGATAGTGTGATTTAATGAACATTATTATCCAATATAGCCTACCTGGGATGAAGTAGTGAAGTGGACTCGGTGGCCAAAACGCATGTCAGTACAATGCTTACTTAATGGGGGGGCAATTGAATGTGCACAGGAGGGGTGGAAAAAAAGCAAAGATTATCAAGTGGATAAAACGTCAAACATTTAACAATTAGCTATTAAAAAGCAAAACGATGTTGATTTCAGCATTAAATTTGCACTGTCCCCATCGGGCCAGCATTAGTGCACTGCTGATGGCCCGACAGTCACGCCGTGGCATCGAGCCACCGTTAATGTTGTACCCTTGGGACATATTCCAGACATCAGTGAATCGTGCCTTTGGTGATTCTAAAAACTGAATAAGCGGGCGAATCTGCCCCAGTTGTTGGTATGTGTGAAGCCCGCTCAAGTGCAGTAACTTGCTTGGCTTAGTGATACTTTTTGTCATTTCATGCATTTCACCTCACAGCGTTTTTTTTTTTTTTGTTTTTTTTTTGTTTTTTTTTAATTTCTGTTTAAGGGACCAGCAGATCTTTTGGACACAGGATTGTAGTTTTGCAAAAGCTACTGTATTAATATTTCTATGCATCATGTGAAAGGCAAAAAAGAAGGAAAGGAAGCTTTAGACATGATCTAGACGGACAAGGTCGCAATTTTGCTTTTATTTTTTTGGGGGGGGGTGTCAATCGGTACTTTGTTGATATTCAGAATAATGTGCTTTACACTTTAATACTTGAATAAAATTTTGTTTGAATAAAATTTTGTTTGGCAGTGTGTTATTTGTCTGCACACACACATCACTCGAGCGATGCACTATGACCTCGCTCACACACACATAAAATGGCCGACCTGTAAAGTTGATCGGAGTCAGAGACATGCTCTTATCAGCAATAGCTTCGAATTTACTAAATTTGAATCACTTTCAGGGTTAATGTACAGCATTCTACCACAAACTATTGACATTTGTGACAATGGAGAGGAAAAATAAAACTTGGCATGCACTATTTGGTAATCAGTTTCCACGCAAAATAATTTTGACGATTATGGCTTGATGTGTCCAGCGGAGCCCCAACTGTGAAAAACAAACACAATGCCAGAGCTGTCAAATGTTATGGATCACATGGATTTCGTTACTCGAAGCCTCACTAAAAGATGTGCAAGAGTACATTCAGTGAATACAATGTTCAGTTTTAAGGTTAAAACATGAACAACTTGTGTCATGTTGACAAGTTACACACATTGATTGTATTTAGAAGAGTAAAACAACTTTGGTTGTTTCCATTTATATGCAAGAGGAAAAAATGCCCAAGTCATGGCACATTCTGCCTACGTCACTATTTGTTGAGCAATTAATGCAGGACCTTTTTTTCGTTATGCATACAGCTGGTTGAGTCTTTTGTTGCAATAATAGTTTTTTTTTTTCCCTAGTTTTTCAAAACCATTGAAATACTACTTGGGCAATTAAGCTATGGGGCTGACGAAATGTATTAAAAGTTTTCGCGTCAGACTTTTAACAACCAGAGAGATGAAGACAAGTTTGCGTTTCAGAAAGATGCACCCTTTGTACAAACCCAATTCGAACAAAGTTGGGACGCTGTGTAAATTCAAACAAATACATTGATTTACAAATCGTGTTTCAACCTGTTTTTAATTGAATACACTCTACATAGACAAGCTATTTAATGTTCCAACTGATGGACTTGATTGTTTTTAGCAAATCATAGAATTTTATGGCTGCCACACATTTCCAAAAAGCTGAAACTGGTGGCAGAAAAAAACTGAGGAAAAGATCAAACACCTGTTCACCACCTTGTGAACCACCATGTGAGAAACTAGTCGACAGTTTAAGGACAATGTTGCACAACATAAAATTGCAAGGAATTTAGGGATTTAATCCTATAGAGTCCATAATATCAAAGGTTTGAGAGAATCTGGAGAAATCACTGCATGTAAGCGGCAAGGCCGATAAAACAACATTGAATGCCCGTGACCTTCGATCCCTCAGGCGGCACTGCATCAAAAATCAACAACGTGGAAAAGATATCGCCACATGGGCTCAGAAAATCAATGTCAGTAAATCCACTTCAGCGCTACATCTTTTTTAGTGCAAAGAAAAAGACATTTATCCACAACACCCAGAAACGCTGTCTGAGCTCATCTAAGATGGACTGATGTAAAGTGAAAAAAGTGTTCTGTGGTCTGCAGAGTCCACATTTCAAATTGTGTTTGGGAAGTCCAATTTTAAATAGGCCAAAACATAAAATTGCAATTCACTTTATTGAATTTGACGATTAAAAATCTTTTGTTTTAAAAGTTCAACTCAGAGGTTTTGAGATCTTCTGCTCCTGAGGCTGTAACGTGTTTGGACCTGGTCAACCTGCTTATCTTCCACAAGAATGCTGTAAACCAGAGGGGAGGAAGAAGAGAAGGCGGAGCGCCTGCGAGGATGCCGGCCTGGAGTCACTGCGGCATTGGGGGTAATGACAGTCAGCACTGAAGTGTCTGTCACCGTTGTGACTGCTGTATTTCTGAGATGATGATCAGCGCTCCAACCTGCATGCACACACGAACACTAATTGTGGCTCTGCACTGCCAAAAGTGGGCATTTTTTACTGACCAATGATTGAGAGATGTGAGGTCTGAGGCATCTGTGCTTGGAAATGCCATGTCTCTCTCTTCTTGACATCTGACTTTCTTCAATGTCTCTTTTTGTCTTCCCTGGAACAAACAGCCATGTTTCACTTATTTTTTCATCGTAGAAAGGGTTCCGTCAGTCGTCATCTACACCTGTGGGTAAAAAACAAAAAACAAAACAAAAAAGGACGTTTCGCTTCTCTCACAAGCCCTGTTCACACGGCACACATTTGGTCCGACGCTGCACCGAAATATTTTGTTGCGATATATTTTACACCGGAGCAAATTTTGTGGAGCGGTCACACGTGCAAAACCGCTGAGCGTGACAGCACCGGCGCAGCGTCGGCGCAGCTCCACTTGCGGTCACACGTGCAGTTTCTGCTGCAGACCAAAACGACAGGAATGCGGAAGTGAAACAGGTTCAGGTCGAGTCGGGCTTCTCTCTCGCGGACTTTTATTTTTTTTTTTTTAATAAATATTATGGCGGACACTATTCTGTCCTTGTTCAGAATAGATCCACTTGTTGGCAGTCGTGGAATAAAGTCGTGTTTACAGTCAATCGTGTGTGCTCCTTATGACTGCCACAATAT